CACTTCTCAGTGACTAGACAGAGTTGTAGCTTTTCATCAATGTTATCAGCAGCTAAATATATGTATTCTGTCTTACTCGGAATGACACCAGCATGACCAGGTTGTGATACTCCAAAGTTTTTTCTATGAATATCGAGAAATGTTCTTTTCTTTCCAGAATCTGAATTGGAAATGCATATTTAGCTGTTATGTTTCTCTTTTAATCATTTTCTGGCTGATCATGCATGATTATGTACAAATTTGATAACAGCTAGGATAATTATATAGCTGTTGTTCAATCATTGTGTCTGTTTTTATGCTTCTAAAATAAATGCATGGGACATAATCATATATGTAAATTCTAAACTGTTGGTAGAGTGAATAAAGCTTTTTTTTCAGAATATCAAACGGATAAGTTATCAGTATTCAGATGCCTAATGATCTGAAGTAGTCCTGTTGTCCTTGACCTTGATTTAAAGACTAAATAAACAAAATGTATTATCAAGGTGTGAGGACTACTACTTTTTTAATTTAAGGAATAATTTGGGTATATTAATTGCTTGAAATAATACATGCATGTTTTACAGTTTTCACCTCACTTTGACCTTTACAATTGATCATTTTAAGGTGACAGGATTTACCTGACCTTGACCTCATATTATATAATCAGTATAGTTTTTGTGACACATGAAATAAGATTTCCATATCAAGGTTCTCTGTGGTAAATGAATAAACAGAAGTGTTCTATTTGTTTATGCCCATCTACTTTTATTGTAAAGAGAGAAAATAGAAAAAATGGCAACAAGTTTAAACTCTGTTAAATAATATGCATATTTCATAGTTGTCTACAAGATAATTTTGATAATGTTGACGGACTGAAAAGAAATTTGAGTAAGTACACGCAGTAGTTGGATACTATTCATGATATGTATGGCGAAGTTAAGCCGGTCTCTGTGTTTAGGGTTCACAGATGCTATACCTCCCTTTTAGGTATAGTAACGTCCCCTTTCATACATATCAAGTATCTTCTACTATTTGTACGAACTGAGTGCGATTCCTCAGTGAGCCTAAGCCTGGTGGCTCAATCTGACCAAGCTCGATGGCTAGGTCAAAAAAATCTTTAAGACTGAGCCTAGCCTGGTGACTCAGTCTTCCCAATGAGCCTAGCCTGGTGGCTCAATCTGACCAAGCTCGATGGCTAGGTAAAAAAAATCTTTAAGACTGAGCCTAGCCTGGTGGCTCAATCTGGCCAAGCTCAATGGCTAGGTCAAAAAAAATCTTTAAGACTGAGCCTAGCCTGGTGGCTCAGTCTGACCAAGTGTGGTGGATAAGCCATTTTATGAACATTTTAGTTGGGAAATGAAGGATATTTTACTTAATTTTTTATCCATTTGGGAATGGGGGGGCAAAGGGAATATTTACTTTCTATGATAAAAATTTTTAAATTGTACAGGAGATTGTTTTTATCTTTTTTCAGTTAAAATTAAGCCCCCAAGTCAAATCATAGACTTAAAAACTGGTACTCCAAAAGGAAAAGAAAGGTGTCTTACTGTGGGCATTTGTCTTGGTGAACTAGCACCTTAAAGTCCAGCTAACCCACAGGCCGGCTGGCTAGTACAAGCAGACAGGTACCATTTGGCATTTTTAAACTTTGGCATTTTTTCATTTGGCTTTTTGCTTTAAATATTAACTACTTGGATTTTGTTACCATTTGGCATTTTTCATTTACATTTTTTTCATATTTTGCAACATATTTTTTCATCAACACACCAAAAACACTTCAAAATTAAGAGTTAAATATACACTTTTGGCATTCATAATGATTATCAATCAAAATAGCATTCTATTTTCAAATTTACATTACACAATTTGGCTTTCTGTAACCTTGGCTGTTAATCTTTTGTACGAATGCTATGATGACCATTATGTGTAGAAAATAAAAGAACTACATTTTTCAAAATTGGCTCAGTATCATATATCTAATATATTTCATGTCAGTTACTTTTAAATTTCGATCATATTTCTAAAATCATCTTCCATTTCTGGTACATCTTATAAAAATTGTATTCATCTACTAACCAACTTTTCTGATAGGGACTTAACACCAAGCAGAAGGGAAATAGGTGATAGGTGGCTAAGGTTGTCATGAAAGGGTGAAAGGGTGAGAAAAGGAGGGAGAAAAAGAGAATGATTGAGAGGGTGAGGGTATATGATTGAGAGTGGTATGTAGAGAGGGAGAGAAAGTGTGAGAGAACGTGATTTCATAGTAAGGACATGATGTACTGGTCTAATGGAAGTGCAGTTTTCTGTTTAGTCTCATGTAGTTTCTGTTTTCTTCAGTAATCTGTTAATTTTAAATCATGAAATTACTGCTGTCTAAAATTTCACAGGTTAACAGCCTTTCTTGTTACTGTTTATGTGCTGCTTATATATAAACATTGTAGCACTTCTCAGTGACTAGATAGAGTTGTAGCTTTTCATCAATTTTAGCATCAGTTTCTGTATATATATAGAAATTTTCTTTTCTTTCAATAATCTGAACTGGAATTCATTTTTAGCTGTTAGGTTTCTTTTTATCCTTTTCAGGCTGATCATGATTTTGAGGATGATTTACAAATTTGAGGATATTAATATACTGTTGTTCAATCACTGACAACTGTCCACCAGCTTTCAAATGAAGTGGATGTAAGCAATAAAAAGCCACTGTACAGTCTTCAAAATTGTGAAAAATACACTGTATAGTCAGCTATAAAAGGCCCCATCATGAAAAATGTGAAACAATTCAAACAAGAAAAATAACAGCCTATTTATTAAGTTTCATGTTTATGTTGAGCATGTTGGGGACAACCTGCCAGATGGAGAATGGTCCATCTCCTCTGAGAAAATAAAGATGAGCAAACAAAGACAACTAACAACACATGGTCAAGATCCCTGCCTGACTGTACAGGAGCACAATGTGTCGTGCTTAAGGGGGTACCGTACACCTAAGAAAAGATAACTCTTACTGAAATTCTGAATTAACTTACGTCAATATAGCGTTTTAAAATACGCCTCATATTACAAGCGTTTTATTGACCTTGAATAGTTGTTTACGTGTTGATATGAAGCAGACGATACATCAATGTTATAATGGAACAGCTTAAACGTGATCCGTTTGGTAAATTTTCGAGGTCTAAATCTGCCGATAAGAAATCAAATCGTTCAGATTACTTCAAATGGTTAAATGATGGCAGGAAATTGGAAGATTCTCCGCAAGTCGGCTTGCGTAATGATCATGGCAATTACGTATACGAGTTTCTTGATGTTGGGGCCGAGGCTGAATTGGAAGATGATAACAAGTCTGATGTGTCAAAATCTTGGACAATGGGGAGAAGAATTGTTGAGTTGAATGTCCTAGCAAAAGGAATGTATTGCTGCACTTGCAAGTGTCCGCTTCACCTGTCAAATATTGTAGGAGAACGATTGTTTGGGCTAGGTGGTCTACTGATGGTGGATTGTGAACTGTGTCATACTGTAACTGATGTCCAGTTTGGGAAGAGGGGGCTATCTGGAAGTTATGACATCAACACAAAAGCTTCCATAGGTAGGTATAGAAACTATATGATTATATCACATGCTTGTAAATTATAATAGCCTATATGATGCTAATATTTACAGTTTTACTGTTTGCCTTTATAATTAACATGTTGCATTGTTTATTTTTCATAATTATATTTAAATGCATTCATGATTTTTGTTTAATAAATAGATTAATATTGAGTCCTCGGGGGCAATTACAACTAATGTGTCTATATATATAGCTAACTCAACAGTGCATGCTGCTTGCATACTCGGGCAAATTGGGGTGTTGGGAAAACTTTTTAGATTAAGGTATATAGGATTTTTTCTGAGACAAATGCCTGTGCCTTATAACAAATTAATTGTTGAAAACATTGTCATTGTTCAATGAACATCAACAACTTTCAACCCCTCCCTTCTTATCTTTTTCATAGTTAAAGTAGGCTTTGAAAAGAGTTATAATAACTACTTATAAACTGTGAAATATTTTTTTTAGGGCTTGGCCATTAAATGTACAACTATATGTACATCATTATATCATGTAAATATTCTTAGATGATGTTTTGTAAGCCAAGTCAGAGAAATTAGTACAGGACTGTCAGCACAAATGGCAATGTAAGTATTAAATGTATGCACACAAAGTGGAATATCCAGACTGGATGCCCCTTTCTAGGAAACTAAGTCTTTTTTACCCCCCCCCCCCCCCCCCCCCCCCCGAAGAAAAAATCCTCATATTGTATAACTTTTCATGGAGTACATCTAAAAAGTCCTAGATCCTAGATTTAATTCAAGGGACTTAGGTAATATATATATGAGAATTATAATGCAATTTGATCATGTAATGCTACATTGTATATACAGTAAATATTGTCCTAATTACAAAAAATACAATGATCAGTTAGGTATAAGTGTGAGACAGACAGAATAAACAACAATACATGTACAGATCAAGACTTTTCACCACCTAAAATTGCGCAGGACAGCACAATTTTTGAAATTTTTCATTAGATTTAACAGTGAGGACCAGCAGAATTTCTTTAAGGACCACAAAAACAATAATTTCTAATTGTGTATTTGGTGTGCAGTCACTGCAAATGTTTGTTTCTGCATACATATGCATCCAAAAGATTTGTTTGTGTTCTTAATAATGTATTTGTAGCTTACTACAAAACTAGGTATCCTAAAGGTGAAGGTAAATGTTTAAGGTCAATCTATAAAAAACTTGCTGGGACTTTTTTTTATTAGAAATGCAATCTTTTCTAGATTGAAGCAAGTTTTGACAGTGGCTATAAAGAAAATATGACAGATATAAACTAACAACAACCACTGAACTACAGGCTCTTTATTATCAATATCTGTCCGTCATATTAATCTGTAACATTGCATCTGTGAACCTTTCATTAAAATATCCATTATCCTACACCCCTAAACAAATTGAAACCAAACTTCAAAAAAATATTTACTAAACTGTTTATCATTGCATCATGTATGTAATACCTTTTACTTTAATTCTTGCAGGACATGCAACTTTTATTGGAAAGGAGACAGGAAAGGTGTTGTCCTTTGATTTAAGAAGTAAGACTTGTAAGGTTTGTGAATTCCATCTTAATAGAAAAGAGACTGTTCCAGAGCATGAGTGTCAGTTGAATTGGCATGGCTCTAGTAAATCCATGGAGGCAGATATGGCGGTGTCTATGGCCCACAGATTAAAAGATGATGAATGTGAAATTAATGGTATGTTTCATATTCAAAATAAAGAATTTTGAAATACAATTTCATGTAATGAGTTCCCCAAAATGCATTGAAAATATCATATAAAGGGAAATAACTCTTATTTCAACAATACTTTCAAATTTGAAAGGTGAATATTTTGTGATTTTCACAGGAAACTAAGATTTTGTTCTTACACTTTTATGACAAAGAATCAATTAATTTTGTTGTTAATTATATAACATAACCAATGTCATGTAAAAATCCAGTTTATATTTATTTTAGTTGCTTTATTTACATTAGCTACATGTAATTAAATAAGGCAGAATATAACAGCTATCACTATTTTCCAAATAAAAAAATATGCTTGCAGTTGTATATCTTGACCGCTGTTGTGTTGCCTTTTTGTAGGTTTATAATTCTTCAATCTTCATTTCAGTCATACATGCTGATAATGATGCAGCAACATCAGCCAGACTTGAAGTTGAGTTTGAAAATATAAAGAAAAAAGATGACCAGAACCATGTAAAGAAGGGTATATCAACAAGCTTATATAATATTTCAAAGAGGTATTTTTACAAATTAACTTTAGTGTTACGAGTATGTCTATGATATGAAAAGGCTTAAGCCCATCCTTTACCAAATCAAATCATACTTATAGATCTTATTATATTGATCTGTCAAGACTAAAAACTCTAAAAAAAACATTACAATGAAATTTCAATTTTGTGTTGTTCAAAGACATGTAAAGATCTTTGCATTTTTGTGTTATCTGAATTCACAAACATTACATTTAAAATTGAAAGAACTATTAGTATATATATGAGTAATCTTCATGGCTTATGGAACGACCAAATAGTTTTTAGTGAGGCTTTATGAAGTTTAGAATAGAAAGGCCGGACTTAAAAAAATAGAAACTAGGACCCTTTTTTCTGAAAATTAAAAGGCAGATGCATGAATCCATGATTGAAGATTTCATCCATGCCCCATAAAAGTCTGAAGGGTGCTTGCTCCCTCAATAGTATAGACAGATAAGCAATAAAAAAAGAAGACTTTTTAAATTTTTTTTTTACATTAATTATTTGTTTCTTATTTTGTAGTTACAAAGAATTGCAAAAGGATGAAACAAAACAATATATTTTGAGGTGCTTTATGTATTCCATTAAGGGAGGTGACAATGAAGATGACATTAAGATTGGGCTGCAAAGAATTGTACCACATATTTTTGGATCACATGAAAATTGTAAAGATGCTGACTGGTGTAGCTATCATCAAGATCCAGAAAAATTTACGTAAGATCTTCTATACTGGTATTGACAACATATTATTAGCTTACTGGGGCCCGAAGGGCCCCATGTGAGCTTATACCATCACTTGGCGTTCGTCTGTCGTCGTCGTAAACTATTTCAAAAATCTTCTCCTCTGAAACTACTGGGCTAAATACCTTCAATCTTTAAATAAATGTTCCTTAGGGTATGTAGTTTATAAATTGTATCCAAAGTTTTGATCCATCGACAAACATGGCCGCCATGGCTAAAAATAGAACATAGGGGTCAAATGCAGTTTTTGGCTTATATCTCAAAAACTAAAGCTTTTAGAGCAAATTGGACATGGAGTAAAATTATTCAATTGGTCAAAATCTATCAGCCCTGAAATTTTCAGACGAATCGAACAACCCATTGTTTGGTTGCTGCCACTAAATTGGTAGTTTTAAGGAAATTTTGCAGTTTTTTGTTATTATCTTGAATATTGTTATAGATAGATATAAACTGTAAACAGCAATAATGTTCAGCAAAGTAAGATTTACAAAAAAGTAAAATATGACCAAAATTGTCAATTAACCCCTTAAGGTGTTATTGCCCTTTAAAGACAATTTTACACAATTTGTTCATCAAGTTTGCTAACATTTAAAAATCTTCTCCTCTGAAACTACAGGGCCAAATACCTTAAAACTTTAACTAAATATTCCTTAGGGTATCTAGTTTGTAAATTGTATCCGAAGTTTTGATCCATTGACAAACATGGCAGCCATGGCTAAAAATAGAACATAGGGGTCAAATGTAGTTTTTGGCTTATATCTCAAAAACTAAAGCTTTTAGAGCAAATCTGACAAATGGGTAATACTGTTCAATTGGTCAAGATCTATCAGCCCTGAAATTTTCAGACGAATCGAACAACCCATTGGTAGTTTAAAGGAAATTTTGCAGTTTTTTGTTATTATCTTGAATATTATTATAGATAGATATAAACTGTAAACAGCAATAATGTTCAGCAAATTAAGATCTACAAAAAAGTTAAATGACCAAAATTGTCAATTGACCGCTTAAGGAGTTATTGCCCTTAAAGCTTTAAAGACAATTTTACACAATTTGTTCATCAAGTTTGCTAACATTAAAAAATCTTCTCCTCTGAAACTATTGTGCCTAATACTTCTTAACTTTAAATGAATGTTCCTTTAGGAATTTAGTTTATGAATTATATCCGAATTTTTGATCAATCAACAAACATGGCCGCCATGGCTTAAAATAGAACATAAGGGTCAAATGCAGTTTTTGGCTTATATCTCAGAAACTAAAGCATTTAGAGCAAATCTGACATGGGGTAAAAATGATTAAAAGGTCAAGATCTATCATCCCTGAAATTTTCAGACAAACATTGTTGGGTTGCTGCCACTAAATTGGTTATTTGAAGGAAATTTTGCAGTTTTTGGTTGTTATCTTGTATATTATTGAAGATAAAGATAAACTGTAAACAGCAAAAAATGTCCAACAAAGTAAGATCTACAAAAAAGTTTTATATGACCAAAATTGTCAATTGACCCCTTCAGAAGTTATTGCCCTTTAAGGACAATTTTACACAAGTTGTTTATGTTTTTTAACTTTAAAAAAAGAAATGTATCTAGTATAAATTTTGTATATTATTTCCTTGTACGTCAAGAAACATAGAAACTATGACTAAATGGAACATATGGGTAAAATGCATTTATTTGCTTTTGAAGAAAATATGACAGATACAATGAACATTGAAGTGTCATTTTTAAGCCACTCATTAATATATATTGAAAAGCAAAACTAATCATTGATGAAAGATTTAACCAAATTTTAACAGGTGAGCGATTCAGGCTCTTGAGAGCCTCTTGTTTTCTGTATCGTCTCATTTCTCAAAGAATTAATAGATATAAGATGTGGTATGAGTGCTAATGAGACACCTCTTCCATCCAATTCACAATTTGTTAAAAGAAACCAATTATACATATGTCAATCCTAAAAATTGATTCCTTAATATGCTGAATCTAACCGTGTATTAAGTTTTTGGATTTTGGCCCGGTTTTTAAATTGGTCCACATTGAGGTCCAAAGGGTCAAAAATTAAACTTTGTTTGATTTCATCAAAAAATGAATTATAGGGGTTCTTTGATATGACGAATCCAACTGTGTATTTAGGTTCCTAATTTTTGGTCCCGTTTTCAAATTGATCTACATTAAGGTCCAAAGGGTCCAAAATTATACTTTGTTTGTTTTTAACAAAAATTGAATTCATGGGATTCTTTGATATGCTGAATCTAAACATATATTTAGATTTTTGATTATGGGCCCAGTTTTCAAGTCAGTCCAAATTGGGGTCCAAAATTAAACTTTGTTTGATTTCAACAAAAATTGAATATATGGGGTTCTTTGATATGCTGAATCTAACCATGTATTAAGTTTTTGGATTTTGAACCCCATTTAAATTGGCCCACATTGAGGTCCAAAGGGTCCAAATTAAACTTTGTTTGATTTCATCAAAAATTGACTTATTAGGGTTCTTTGATATGCGGAATCTAACCTTGTATTTAGATTTTTAATTTTTGGTCCCATTTTCTAATTGGTCTACATTAAGGTCAAAGGGTCCAAAATTAAACTTTGTTTGATTTCAACAAAAATTGAATATATGGGGTTCTTTGATATGCTGAATCTTACCATGTATTTAGATTTTTGATTTTGGGTCCCGTTATCAAATTGGTCCACATTGAGGTCAAAAGGGTCCAATATTAAATTTTATTTGATTTCTTCAAAAAATGAATTCTTGGGGTTCTTTGATATGCTAAATCTAACCATGTATTTAGATTTGGGATATTTGACCTTAGTAGGTAAATGTCAAATTTAAAAATTTTAAGTTCTTAGACTACATTCATTTTGTGTCAGAAACCTATGCTGTGTCAAATATTAATAACAATCCAAATTCAGAGCTGTATCAAGCTTGAATGTTGTGTCCATACTTGCCCCAACTGTTCAGGGTTCAACCTCTGCGGTAGTATCAAGCTGCACCCACTTTTTGTTCTAAGAACTCCCCTTTTTTCTTAGCAACTCCTGCCCCTGTTTTAAAATTTCTTGATCCGCCCATGTACAGAAATATTGAACATATACTTATACTAAATATTAACACTAAAGTTTCAGGCTAAGTATTTTGTGCAAATAAAAATTTGAAATGTAAATTTTATTTTAATTTTATTCTACTCCATTTTAGGTATAAAAGTTTACCAAATGGGAAACCGCTCAAGTCTGAAGGATTAAAGGTTGAATTGAATAATTTAGTGCAAAAAATGATTGGTAGGAGTAATTCTTTAAATGACCTTGGATCTACACAGTCAAATGAAAGCTTTAACCAGCTTGTATCTGTAAAGGCACCTAAATCAAGGTAATTTTATATATATTTGCATGTCAGTTCACATTCTTAAGCAACAATGAATACAAGTATAAAAAATATGTTGTATGATTACCAATAAGACAACTCTACACAAGAGACCAAATGACACAGAAATTAACAGCTATGGGTCACAGAAAGGCCTTTAACAATGAGCAATTCTCATATGACATAGTAAGCTATAAAAGCCCCAATTCACAAATTTATGTATAGATATAAAAAGATGTGGTATGAGTGCTAATGAGACACCTCTTCCATCCAAGTCACAATTTGTAAAAAGAAACCAATTATACATATGTCAAAGTACAACATTCAACACAATTCAAACAAGAAAACTAATGGCCAAATTAATGTAAAAAATCAATAAATGAAAAACAAATATATCACATTGCAATTACTGACAGCTAGTTCAAAGCCAATAACAAAACAAACCATTCATTTAAGACTTAATTATCTTGTCAGGGCTTTAAATTTTTCATACCCTGACTACTAAAAGTGATGTACATCCATCTGTCCAACTCAAGTTAACAGGCAGGTTGAAGTTTATTAGTTTTCAATGAAGGGAGTCAATACTATCATAGTGAAACTTTATATAAAAATATTAATCTTTTGCAAAGGGTCTTCATATTTGGTGAGTTGGTATGTAACTGTTACCTGCACCTTTGACATCAAGTTCAAATAAGGGAAGAGGGGAATATATTTTAATGTACTTAAAAAGTTCTTCATACTCTTTTTTAGACATTATGGTGGATCATGCTCACTTCAGAATAGGTTATCTGCAGCTGTGCTTCAGAAAAATGAAGGATATGGCTACTTATCCAAGGTAACTATGAAAATTTTTACATCTTCTTTTTGAACGAAGGGTGACATAGTGAATGAATATGATTGCTTCTTTTTCTTTCCTCTTCTATTTCTTTCTTTTTCTTCATCTTCTCAGAAAAGCCTGTTCAGACCATAACTTTATTAATCTTTTGATATAGCATATAATGAATTTTTAGTATGTGGGTATATCACTTGTGTCAAGTTCCAGGATTGGTAACTAAGACCTTGACCTAAAGTTCATTGAAATTAAATTTCTAGTACTATCTTTATGTCCACTCCATGTCTTTTTGTCCGTCTGACCTTACTCTCATCCTCTTTCCTTTCCTCACTCTAACTGAAGTTTGCCTCATCACGGAAAGTGAGTCACTTATTGTTCTAGAGTCATGCCCCTTTATAACTTGGAAAATTGCAAATTGTTTTGTTTCCTTACTCTAACGTAAGTTTGTCTGATACAACTTTTATAAAACTGATACATATAAGAATCACAACACTCAGACAGAGTTCAAATTTGTGTTGTGACTCATTTGTCAACCTATAGTTCTGTCCCTTTTTAACTTGGAAAATTGCAAAGCTACAGCGGAGGCATTCATGACATCTTACACATTCTCCTTTAATAATTTTTTTATCTTTTTGAAACCATGTTACATGTTGCATCCAATGTTTATATACAAGGAGATTACTGTATTGCTTTTTTAGCCCTGCAGATATACTTTGTACAATTTACAGTCACGAATCATGTTTATCTAGTATGTAACTCAATTATCTTCTTTCTTCTCAAATTATTATCAGATGTGGTATGTGTGCTAATGCAACAAATATCCATCCAAGTCACGATATATAAAGAGTTACCATTATAGGTCAAAATATGTGTTCACGATGGAGATTACTGTTTTTTCTTGATTTTTAATATTTTAATGCATATATGTATTACATTTTAATTATGTTGCATTTTTTTTAGATCAATGAAGCAGCAAACCTCTCTCCAGGAGAATTTACAATGGCAATTTCCTCTGTAAGAGATAAAAAAATGGAAAAAAGAAAAGAAAAAAAGAATTCAAAGGAATATAAAGTTGGCCGTATACAAAAGAAAAGAAACCAAGAAACCGCAATAAGAACGAGTGTAAACATCTGATAAGAGAAGGAAAAATGGAATTTGATCTTCAACAGGACCCTGAGCAAACCACAGAAATTCCACTTCCTTTTAATCTAGATGGCACTGAATGCAAAGTGTTTTTTGATTTAGAAACAACAGGCTTGTGTAGGAATAGCGACATCATTCAGATAGCAGCTAAGTCAAATTCAAATAGTTTTAACAGATATGTCATCCCAAGAGTGGACATTCAGATCGAGGCCAGTAAGATCACTGGTATAACATACAGCCATGGAACAAATAAAATGTATGTTCGAGGAGATATAGTTGAACCTGTGACAATACATAAAGCCCTACTTGATTTTATACATTTTTTATAGGAACAGAACCAGCCAATTATACTAGGTCATAACATTTGTAACTTTGACATTCCTGTAATTGTTAACAATTTAATTTGTTTTCGACATTTTGTGAAACCGTGAAAGGTTTTATTGACACAATGAAAGTGGCTAGAAAATATATTCCAAAAAATGATGTAGAAAATTTTAAGTAGCAGACTCTTGTCAAACAGTTTGTAGGAGAAAATTACTCTGCCCACAATGCAATAGAGGATGTGGATTCATTAAAAACATTATACGACAGTAAATTTACCTCACTAGTGAAATCTGATGATGTATTTTCCATTTTATACCACAATTGCATGGACTCCTACTCTGACTTACTAAGTAATAAAATTGTTTCAAGGCCAGTTTGCATGCAACTAGCAAAAGATGGTATATCGTTGAAACACCTCAAACTGGCATCTGTACGAGATGTAAATGGACTGAAATTTGTCTTACAGGACCATAAGATACCACCAAAGAGTGTGAAATGCATTCAGGACTACTTTCAGACGGAGGAATGAATTTTGTATGGCCAAAAAATAAATATATGTCTGTGTTTTCCTATAATCTGACTGTGTCTACCCTGATACTTGTTTTATTATTCTCCCAACACAATGAATTTGCCAAGGATATGATGTTTCAGTCTGTCCATTTGTCTATCCTATTCTTGTTAGTTCAACTCCTTAAAAACCGTACAACAGAATTTAATGAAACTTGGAAGGTGGTAAGAATGCAATAAGTGTGTATATTACAAAGTTCTATGAAATTTTGATTCCCTGCATTATAATTTCATATTTTGAGTTATAGTCCCAGATCAATTGACACTGAAAAATAAATAATTTGCCATTTTTATCTGCAAAAAAATGACCGCCAAATTCAAACATACTAGTGGTTGGATATTGTACCCTATGAAATAAATATTTCAAAAATCATTTATCTGAAGCTACTAAAATAAAATGAACCAAACTTTAAAGTCTCATGAAGGTCAAATTTGCAAGGAACACACCACTTCATGATAATACATTCATATTTGCCAAAGATGTAAGACCTAGGGCAAAAGTCATGGCCTGGTCATTTTCATGCTAAAAACTACATAAAGTTGACCTTATGGTCAAATTTCAAGATCACATGAAGGTCATCATGGTGCAAGACACATTACCTGATGATGATACATCTACATACCAAAGATCTAAGACCAAGGTAAAAAGACAACAAGGCATGGTAAAGTGTTTATAGTAAAAAATAAAATTGACCTTGAGGTCAATTTAAGGTCACATGAAGATAATCACAACACAGGACACTCCATCTCATTATGATACATCCTCATACAAAAGATGCAAGACCTAGGTTAAAAAAAACAACAACAAAAATGCATATGGCCTTGTTTTCTATCAAAAATACATTTATTTGACCTTGAGGTCAAATTTCAAGGTCACATGAAAGTCATCATGATATGTGACACTCTACCTCATGATGATCCTTCAACATGCAAAATATCTAAGCCCTAGGTCAAAAGACAAGAAAACTATGCCCCAAATATATTATCAGAATGGAACTTGCTCTTATTTATTGAGGGTGGTGGTATTATAAAAAACTATAATTGAAAAAAATCTGGTGGATAAAAATTTATAAATTTTTGCAAAAATAACAAACTGATATAGCACTACAAATGGTTAGTTTTAAAAAAAAATTAAACTACACGTTTTTTTTTTTTTTTTTTATTTTTTCTTCAAATACTTGACCCATCATATTCACTTTGGGGGGCTGAATCTGAGACCCCTCTTTTTTAATTCGGACAAAAATTTTAATCCAGAATAAAAAAAATACAAGTAAAGGGAATAGGTGAACTAAAATTCGCCTCAGTTTTCACTATTAACTATGCTATTGTCAATTTAGGATCAATTGAAAATTTTTTTAACATATATACCCCTATACCCATATTTCTGAAACTTCCAAATTTGGCTGATATTAGCATGTAAAAGATGCCATATTCGAGTTGCCAAATCTTTTAAACGTATGGTTCAAATCCTTCGAAATTTTTATAAGATGTTTAGCTTAGCCTAGTTTATCAATGGGATAAAAACAAGAAAAATTAAACGACAGGTTTTTTTTGGTGTATAGTGTTGGGTACCCCCTTGAACTAGATTTATGTGCATATAATCCTTCCATCTTTGTCTATCAAGATGGTATAATTGTAATGAATGGACACAAGGTGAAAAAATAATACAAAAGATTGGAAAATAGGTTGCCTCTGTGACAGTTCATTGCAATATCATTATTAAAATTTGGCTTTTAATTATAATTTTGGTTATAATTTTATATCTATTATATTTTCACATGATTATAACAAGATTTTTTTTATCTTTGCAGAAAGTATAAAATGGTTACTCATGTTAAGTGCACAGGAGACAAAGTAAAACACTTGGAAATGACAGATGACAGCAGATGTCGAACTTGAATGGAGAAGCAGTTTGGAAATTTTAGTCTGAGAAGAGCTAATACTGCTGAAAAAAAACAAATCCAAAACATACAGGTAGAAGCTAGCTAGACTACAATAGAAATGTACAAATGTATTTACTCTCAACACAATACAAGATCCATCTTAATCCAGTAATATCATTTCCATGATACTTTTTTGTATTTTCAAAAATATATGCTTTTGATAAGGATTTTTTGTTCATATATATGAAAATGACTGAAACCAGATGTTTCCATTACCTATTATGAGTAAAATACTGGCTAACAACTTATATATTAATCATTTATTAATTGATTGTTGTTTGCCTTATTTCCAAGAGCAAATATTTCATGCAAATTCAGGACGGTCCGGCTACTTAGAGACCAGTTTTATTTTTGGGCCAAATAAACCACTAAATGTACCTTTTCCTGCGAAAATTTTTAGTTTACATGTTTTATTTTTGTCATTTAACAGTGCAACCACTTGTGATAAGTTACTGCTGTCTTAAATTTTGCAGGTTAACAGCCTTTCTTGTTACTGTTTATGTGCTGCTTATATATAAACATTGTAGTACTTCTCAGTGACTAGACAGAGTTGTAGCTTTTCATCAATGTTATCAGCAGCTAAATATATGTATTCTGTCTTACTCGTAATGACACCAGCATGACCAGGTTGTGATACTCCAAAGTTTTTTCTATGAATATCGAGAAATGTTATTTTCTATCCAGAATCTGAATTGGAATTGCATATTTAGCTGTTATGTTCCTCTTTTAATTATTTTCTGGCTGATCATGCATGATTATGTACAAATTTGATAACAGCTAGGATAATTATATAGCTGTTGTTCAATCACTGTGTCTGTTTTTATGCTTCTAAAATAAATGCATGGGACATAATCATATATGTAAATTCTAAACTGTTGGTAGAGTGAATAAAGCTTTTTTTCAGAATATCCAACGGATAAGTTATCAGTATTCAGATGCCTAATGATCTGAAGTAGTCCTGTTGTCCTTGACCTTGATTTAAAGACTAAATAAACAAAATGTATTATCAAGGTGTGAGGACTACTACTTTTTTAATTTAAGGAATAATTTGGGTATATTAATTGCTTGAAAGAAATACATGCATGTTTTACAGTTTTCACCTCACTTTGACCTTTACAATTGATCATTTTAAGGTGACAGGATTTACCTGACCTTGACCTCATATTATATAATCAGTTTAGTTTTTGTGACACATGAAATAAGATTTCCATATCAAAGGTTGTCTGTGGTAAATGAATAAACAGAAGTTTTCTATTTGTTTATGCCCATCTACTTTTATTGAAAAGAGAGAAAATAGAAAAAATGGCAACAAGTTTAAACTCTGTTAAATAATATGCATATTTTATAGTTGTCTACAAGATAATCTTGATAATGTTGACGGACTGAAAAGAAATTTGAGTAAGTACACGCAGTAGTTGGATACTATTCATGATATGTATGGCGAAGTTAAGCCGGTCTCTGTGTTTAGGGTTCACAGATGCTATACCTCCCTTTTAGGTATAGTAACGTCCCCTTTCATACATATCAAGTATCTTCTACTATTTGTACGAACTGAGTGCGATTCCTCAGTGAGCCTAAGCCTGGTGGCTCAATCTGACCAAGCTCGATGGCTAGGTCAAAAAAATCTTTAAGACTGAGCCTAGCCTGGTGGCTCAGTCTTCCCAATGAGCCTAGCCTGGTGGCTCAATCTGACCAAGCTCGATGGCTAGGTCAAAAAAACTTTGAGACTGAGCCTAGCCTGGTGGCTCAGTCTTCCCAATGAGCCTAGCCTGGTGGCTCAATCTGACCAAGCTCGATGGCTAGGTCAAAAAAATCTTTAAGACTGAGCCTAGCCTGGTGGCTCAGTCTTCCCAATGAGCCTAGCCTGGTGGCTCAATCTGACCAAGCTCGATGGCTAGGTCAAAAAAACTTTGAGACTGAGCCTAGCCTGGTGGCTCAGTCTACCCAATGAGCCTAGCCTGGTGGCTCAATCTGGCCAAGCTCAATGGCTAGGTCAAAAAAATCTTTAAGACTGAGCCTAGCCTGGTGGCTCAGTCTGACCAAGTGTGGTGGATAGGCCATTTTATGAACATTTTAGTTGGGAAATGAAGGATATTTTACTTAATTTTTTATCCATTTGGGAATGGGGGGGCAAAGGGAATATTTACTTTCTATGAC